ACCACCACTACTACTAATACTACAACTACGACTACTACTAGTTCTGGTACTACGACGACGACGACGATCACTACTATTGCTACGACGAAGACGATGACGACTAGTGCTACTTACTACTGCTGCTACTGCGACTGCTAGTGCTACTATGCCAGTAGTATTGCAGTGTTCGTTTTCAACGATTGACCGCTTCGACTCTTTCGTTGCCGCGACTGTTTTTTCTGTCTGCAGCCGTTACAGTCTCGTTGCCTCATTGAGGCATCCGCCTCGCTTGAAAGCAGAAAGGTGCAACACATCATGCGTGAGCCGGCAGAAGCAGAGGCCCAGTTACAGCCATGCAGAAAGAAACGTTGTAGTTGCATGGGCGGTCAGCACCACCGCAAAGCCAGCGTCCGCTCTGTACTCCCGAACACTGGCACCATCCGCAGCCTTTCCTTCCTTCAAGAGAGAATGTGGGTATGGTAGGCCTGCTGTCCTCCAAGCTGCTTTCGTGGATGCATCAAGAGCAGCAGTAGGACCCTACACAGCTCGTACTTGAGGGGTTGAGGCCCCTTATTTATAAAGCCTGCATCCGAAGCCTTTATGTGCAGAGTGCTGCCATGACGGAAACAGCTCCGCATGGCCTCATTGTGCTTTGGCAAGCTTTTAGCGGTGTTGTGGCGTGTGGGCAATATTTCTTGAGGGGTTCAGAAGTGAGGGCATGTACTTTTTTCCTGTTCCAGGGGCAAGATTCTAAAATCGTGGGTGACTATGGATTTGGGCGTATGTTTGCTTGTGCTCGCTTCGCTCTGGTGGGAGTGTAGATAGTATATGGATTATAAGTAACCGGTAATACCCCGTGCCGCTTGTCCGAGTGTGAGTGTCAAAAATACCGCGCACCCAACGGTATGCAGACTGTGTGGAGACAGGTGGCTAATTAAGTGCTGGCTCTGGCGCGGACTAATAGCACGTCAATTGCAAAGACCCCCCCGATAAAGTAAGCTTGCCCATTGCTCGAACTTCACGGTCAGGTGCAGATCCTATCCCTCAGCAAGGGAACGGTGAGGCAAAGTGCCGCTTCCGGTTTTATGATGGTGTGGGGAACCGGGGCTACCTCGTGCCTTTGAGATTTTTGCCATATGTAGTATGTAGTAATGTATGTTTGTGTGTATTCATGAATGTATGGATGTTCGTGGGTACGTATGTATCTGCAAATTTAATATATATATATATATATATGCATATATATATATATATATATATACACATACACATGTACATACATATCTGTACATATTTATATATATATATATACACATGCAAGTGCTCTTTCATTTGATGCTCTAGTACGCATCCCAAGCATGTGTAATGGCTTGGCTGTCTATGCCTGGAATCGAACATGCAAGCGCAGATATTGGAGCTGCGAAAAGGCTAAGCACGGCCAAGTGAAGGCTTTCTTCATGCAGCTTGAGCATCTAGGACCCTTGGTGGCTACCCAAAGTTCTAGCTGGGCTCCCTAAACCCTAAGCCCTATTTTTTGCCTCACCGGCAGGTGGAGGTGCGAACCTGTTCACTCTAGTCGCCTTCGAACTCTGGATCCGGTGCATGTGCACAGGGCAGTAGTTTCCGTTCCGCCATTCTAGACTCTGTCGAGACCCCAACCTCTAAGCCTTGAAGCAACCCCGATAGGTATCAAAATTAACAGAGCGAGCAAGAGCTCCTCCTCAGATTTTAGGTCTGGGGGTTAGGGGTATTTCGGGGGTTTTGGGTTGAGCGCATGGGGCCTGAAGTGAGGAGTGGATCCTGAGATCCTACATCAATCCCAAACCCTAAGGGTCCAAGTACCTAATAATCACATACTCTCCCAACTATTGACCTACATAACTACTATCCGAAACTCAAGTACCTAATTATTCAGTCCTTTGGACCCTAACAGGGAACCAGACAAGGTTGCATGATGTTGCATCCCGCAGCGGCTGCAGCCCGTGCCCCACCTCTCAGCCGGGTGGCACGAACGTCCCAAAGTTGGACATACAGCCTCCGGAGCCATGCCCAAGCAGCCGAGGCATAGGGAGGTTGCTTGGCTTTGTGCGAGATCTTCTTTACTTCGTCAGACCTGACTGAAGGCATCGGATTTTCGAGCCAGATTTTAGTTGCAATCGTGTTCTTACAGCCCATCTTATTCTATTCAAGCATGGTCAAAATTATTGTCACGTTCGTCCCACACCATGATAACCATAGATGTCCTACAAGATTCTCAACTTGTTGACACCATGAGTTCCAGCACGTGTTGCCGGCCTTCTCTTCAGTATACGCGTGGCTTTACCACGTGCTTCTTCTCGCAGCACGTAACTGCCAACATGATTCTTGGCAATGTCTTACAACTTACTAGCTGTAAGGATGTTTGTGTTCATATAAACTTGCATTTACCACGAGATGCTCGTGCATATCTTATAGCAGAAGTATCTGAACTAACGTTAGCAATACTTGTCGTGTCAACACAGTTTTCGTCCTGGTGTGCTTTCAGCACAGTGCTACCACAATAATCATAAATGGGCACGTGCTATGAACTGCCCCCTAAACCCTCAACTCTAAACGGCTAGAGCATGGGACCCTAAACCCCAAACCCAAGCCCTCAGAGGGTAAAACAAACCTTCAGAGGTTCTGGGCATTCTGCGGTTTATGGCCCAAGGTTCAACAGGATCCCAGAAAGCCTCTCAGGTTATGGACGTGCTGGCACGGAAAGGCCGCTTGACTAAACCTCCACGAGGGCATACTTTATAGCGTGCAGGTTTTAGTTTTTTTTTAATGTAGGGGCCTCAATACTTAGAATAGGGTTTTGGGGCCCATTCTACTATAGTTATAATAAGGAACCCCCTAAATCGTATAGGTAATTATTTAGGCCCCTGCATTACTTTGTCTGCTCCAGGATGTGCCCCACATCGTTGGACCCTCTGGGTAGGATTGAGTTCTAACCCCTAAACCCTAAACCGTTTAGGGGTTTAAGGTTTAGGGTTTAAGGGTTTAGGGGTTTAGGGTTTAGGGGTCCTGATGCAAAAAGGGGTTTAGGGTTCAGGGTTCATGAATTAATGCTGTTTGCTTGGATTCCTGACTTTGGTGGATGAGGCGGAGCCTCCAAAGGAATCCCAGTAGTCAGATGATGTTTTTTAAACCCGTGTTCCTTGAGTCGCGGATCATGTGAATTTACTACACGTTCTTGCATTGTGATGGTTATCCTGGCTTGAAGCGCCCTTCAGGACCTGTTAGGGCTCCGTCACTTGTAAACTTATACTATATATACCCCCCAAACCCTATTCTAGTTATTGAGGCCCCGATAGCACTCTAGCGATTATATAGTTTCTGCACAAAACACCCCAAACCCCCAGTCTACTTTATTAGGGCCCTCATACTATAGAACCCCTGAGCCCTAAACCCTAAACCCTAAACCCTAACCCTTGCAGAACCCTTTAAAGGAGCCCCCAAAAGGATCCCAGGGATGGAGGTCCCTTCCAGCAGGGATGGGTGGCAAGATTCGACTTCCCTCCTGCGCGACATGGGAGTTTCCGAAAATAAGGGGTACCTTATTTTGGGGTCCTTATGATAAGGATCCTACTATTTAGAGTACCAAATTAGGGTCCCTATTTCGGAAACCCCCACATAAAAGCCTAGGTGAGCCTGCAGTTGAGAAGCTGGGTTTAGGGTTTTGTTGGGTTTTGGGGTTTAGGGTGTTGGGTTTTTTTGAGTTTGGGGTTTAGGGTTTCGGGGTTTAGGGTGTTGGGGTTTTAGGGTTTAGGTTTTAGGGTTTTTCAGGCTGTAAGGCTTTAGGGTTTCAGGGGTTAGGGGTTTTATAGGGATTTGGGTGCGGGCTTCGCGTTGATATCATGCTGTCAAGTACCAGGTCCCGTAGTGGAACTTGACCATGATGGGCTGAACATGCCACTCTAAAACAACGACCCCTCCTAAACCCTAAACCCTACCCTAACCCCCCAGGTACCTACTATATAGGGTACCGGGGCCCCTAGGGCCCTATATAGTAGGTACCTGGAAGGTTAGGGCTAACTGGCAGACGACACCCGATAAAGAACACGAGCACGACCTCAGCGGCTTACAATGGTCTCGTGAGTTAGCTGTTTTCACTTCAGCTTGCAAATAAAAACGTGGTCGTGGGGATGTGGAGCCACGTTATTAGCATAGCCACTACTATTCATCGTCAACAAGCTTGCCCCTTATACTGTTTGGTTTTGTGTTTCTCTTTCAGTTCTCTTCTAATCTAATCTTAACTTTTAGTGAAAGACAAGGAAGAAGGGAGTCCTTGTACTAAGGGGCTTCTCGAGTGCCTGGTAAGCAAGGCTACTACGATGAGATGACCAACACTTTCGAAGACATCAAAGCCAAGCGCGATGTTGTGGAGAAGGCGGCTTCCCAAGCTTAACCCCCTCGAACCCGTAAGCACAAATCCCCAACTCGAAAGCCTAAGCGAAAAGCCTCGGCCGGAAATGCTGTACTTCGGAACCTTGAAATCCCAACCGCAGTTCCCTAAACTAAGCCGAGTTGTGAGAGCGTAAAATAAACCCTGAGCTCAAAGCCCAAAGCCCCACATCCAGGGGCAGCTGGACCAACGTTAGGGGTTCCATGGGCACATTGCTCGACAGCCGAACCATGACTAGGGTTTAGGGTTTAGGAACACGGAGGCGGTCTTGATTTCATGGAGATGTCAATGTTTGATTAGAACAACTGTAGAAGCCCAAAGCATGGCTTGCTTTTGCCATGCAGCGGGCGGATGATCCGACGAGACCCCTTACAAGTTGTTTCATGGCAAATCCATCTGCGCATTGCAAGCAGTCAGTACCCGGCTCGAGTCCCCTATAAAATAGCTTCCTCATTCAAGCCCTCCATCACAGAAGGTTATCACAACATCCGAGTGACAGCAACTTATGTGAACCAGCTTCATCTCAGCGCGAGGCTTTTGCCTCTAGCCATGTGGCATACCATGTGCCCAATGGTGGTTATGGATGATGTCTTGCATGATTTTCAGGAAGCCGGCGGGTTTCGCTTAAACGTCGATCTGCCCGAGCCTGAACTTCCCAAAAATCCCTAGAGAACCCTAAACCCTAGACCCTAAACCCTAAAAGAACCCTACCCTAAACTCTCGGAGGCCCCGATGAAAAGCCTAACCGTTCCTGAACCCGAGCCTGCCGCCGCTTTCGAGACGAGCCCCCCTAAACCCCAAATCCCCGGGTTTAGGGTTTATAGGGTTTAGGGTTTAGGGTTCAGGGTTTAGGGTTTAGGGTTCAGGGTTTAGGGTTTAGGGTTTATAGGGTTTAGGGTTCTGAGCTGATCTTGTTAGGAGATCACGGCTCTCCTGGATGAGAAGGAAGAGATTGAAAAACGAGCCCTGGCAAAGCGGAATGTGGGGGTGTTTAGGTCTGTTGTAGTTCCCTTTGAAGGTAGACCTAAGATGTTTGCTTCTAGTCGTCCAGCCTCGACTCCTGCAAGTGCAAATGCAAAAAACTGAGCTGTCATCCGAACCGATCCCTAATGGTCTGCAGTCTTAGAGCCGAACTAAAACATCAGCATTTACTTCTGAATGGTGCGGTTAGATCATCAGTGTCATACTTATTTACTCAGTAAGGTGATCATCATCCGATTAGCCCTGCGAATATCTGCGTTCGAGTTAGAGTTTCCCAGAGACTCCAATATCCCGGAATTAAGGAGTATACCTTAAATCATATTAAGGGTCCTACTATAATTTAAGGTTTATTCCTTAATTAAGGGATATTGGAGTCTCTGGGTTCGGAAGAGCCAAGGAATGAAGGAAGCGCAGGGAGAACTCGAAGCCGTCCAGGCATCGAATAAGGCCAGCCAGAAGGCGGGAGTTCACGGTTCTGCACTGTTCTGGTTTGTCTTTTAGGATCTTTTTTAATTTCCCTTACTGTTTGTAGAGAACCATAGTAGTAAATAATTTTCAAAGGGCTTAAAGGACAACTTAGTGTTGTGATGGTAATACAGGGGGCTAGATAATTACCTATACTATTCTGGGGGCTCCTTATTATAACTATTATAGAGGAGGCGGGAGTTTCATGGTTCTGCACTGTGGATGGTAATACAGGGGACTAAATAATTACCTATACTGTTTTGGGGGTTCCTTGTTATAACTATAGTATAATAGGCCCCCAAAGCCCTATTCAATTTATTAAGGCCCCTATATTAGTTATGGCTACGATGTAGCCGTAGAAGGAAAACGGTTATGATAATAATGATGCGCCTTGCCAGAGTTGTTGCTTGTCCTTGTTCATGGGTTTATGCCATGTATCTTCGTATCAAGTCTGCTTTGTGTGCATTGTCATGATTGTGCTTCAGGTATTAATAGGTCTTTTCGTCTTATGTGTAAATACTTGACATGCAAATTTCGACCAGCTTTTCACAGGCCCGGTAGGTTTCCCCCTAAATTCAGTGAGAAGGTCCGACCGCCTTGCTCTCAACCCCAGGGCTCTCAACTCCGAAACGAGAAGCCGCCTCACGCTTACCGTGCGTTCTACATGCGGACCTGCTGCCGAACACGACCATGATAGATCAGATCTGTTAGCGGAGATCCGCCCCCCCGAAATCCGCACAAGCTGTGAGAGTTGCCGATCCCTAAGGCTGCAAACCCGAAACCCGAAGCCTAAATCCAAGCCAAAACGACAAAAACTCATCTGCAGTGCGGAGAAACACTTGGAGTCTGGAGCCCTCGCCCCAGAATCTTCAAACCCTGTTCGCTTGGAAAGCTTCCGAAGGCCAAGCGGAAAACTGAGCGCATCCTTCGTCAGCTTGAGGCCAGAACGTACACCCTCACGTTTCTTTACTTGAGTCCTGAAGCATCCTTTCCTGGTTTTAGGGTTGGGAAGGGAAAAGGTGCTCATAACAGCTGCGGGGTTTCTAGGGTTCGTACGTAAGGGATTTCTGGGATGCGATGGGGTTCTATGTGCGTTTACACGGGTTCTGTAAGTGATTCCTCGAAATGAGGGGTGATCAGTCAGTCCACGTTCTCATTAGGATAAAGATCCTACCGTATGTAGGATCTATATTGGTGTCCCAGCCACCCTGATAATTTAGAGGTTTAGGATCGTTTCAGGTGCCGGTCTTACATTCCTAGGTAGTATCAGGGAGACCCGTTAAAAGGGGACCCTTCTCAACCCTACTTCTCCTGGCTCTCTTACAAAGGGGCCTCATTTCGAGGTTCTACATCCCCAAAAGGTCCCCTTAATCCTAAACCCTAAACCCTAAACCCTAAACCCTAACTACAGTAAGTTTTTTCCGACCCGGCCTTCTGGTGTTCAGGCTTCCGGTGGCTCCAGGTTTTGCGGCTTGGGGTTCGGGGTTTCATGGGGTTTAGGGTTTAGGGGTTTGGGGTTCACCACGGCAGTTCCGGGCGAGAGAAGCCTGCTGCAAAGAAGGTTAACCATGATGAGTTTGTTCAGACGTACGGAGTGTTTGGCCTTGACCAGGATTGCAGGTGCGCGGGTGCAAAATGTAGATGCAACCTGAATGGTGTATTAGTGCCTTTCGAGAGTCGTTGTTGTACAATCGTCCGAGCATGTTCGTCGGGTCGGTCGATACATTGAGCAGATGATGTGCAATTTAGCCTAATCTAGGGGCCTTAATAATTAGAATAAGGTTCGGGGGTATATTATACTATAGTTCTACTAAGGAACCGCCACAACCCTATTCCAATTATTCAGGCCCCTGCATTAAACTCGCAACCTTGTGGGACTACACCCGGCTCGGTCTTGAATCGGGTGGGGTTCTCGCCCGCACGAATTATCTTCCCCTGTTTTGCTGTTCTACAACACACCCCATTTCAACCCCAACCCTATTGTAATCATTCAGGCCTCTACAGGTAATAAACAAACTCACAGAAGCGAACCAAAACCCCTAAACCCTGAAGCCAGACTTGTCCGAGTTGTGAGTGCTGAAACCCTAAACCCTGAAACCCTAAGCCTTAAACCGTAATAGTAATCCGGAGCATGCGATCCGGAGGCTGGCGGCTCAATCGCGCGACAGGCGCTGAGGCGACTGCAGCTGAGCCGGATGCCTCTGGCAGAGAGGGCAGCCTGGCGATGATAACCTGAAGTTTTGGTGCTCCTTTGAGGGTTTATGAGTGTCTTTATAATAAGGGTTTAGGATATCAGGGTCATGGGGACACCGTGAGGGTAACAGCACGTTTCGTTTCTCGTAAGGGGTATAGTGTCTCTCAGGCGAATGTATGTTGTTGTTCAGCGCCGCTAGGTCTAGGCATGGATTCTGGTCCTGAGGTTCTGCTTTTGGTTCTGGACATCTTCTGCCCAACTGTACGTCCCGGGATTTGTGATGCACAGACTACCAGTCACAGGGTTTAATCGAAAGTGTTCTGTTGTGGGTTCATTGGTTTTTGCGAGTGGATTCGTGGGCTTCGCGCATTTGATTTTCAAAGGTACTCTAGCATGGAATAAAGCAAGTGCCCAAAATGTGACGACACTTCCAATGCAATTGATTTCCCTGGAGCCACGGCATTCTGCAAAAGCTTCTCCACACATGCCAAAACAACATGTAAGGAGTCCGCGTAATTTCAAAGTACGCTTCTGCCGGTGACTCTTCGCAGATGCTGCTCGGGGATGGAAAGCCAGAGTCTACAATAGAAGATTGGACACATGCGCCAGTGCTGTGCTTGTACACTTATGTGCACTCATACTGCGTTGCAACGCTGAGCCCAAAGCCCTTAACTTTCAAACCCTAAACCCTAAACCCTAAACCCTAAACCCTAATTCAGCCTGCAATCGAGACTGTCTTTGCCCGTGGTCAGGTCGCGAATGTCCGCAAGGACGCCGTGGGGTTTCTCCACATATGGGTAGTTGTCAAAATTAGGGTCCCTTTTGGGGTACCCTAAATAATAGGTGCCGTATTATAATAAGGACCCAAAAAGGGACCATAATTTTGACAACCACCCATATGTTCGCACTGGTTTTGCCATGATCGACTTGCCTCTACGTGGTTTTTTTTCGCAAAGAAAACCTAGATCCCATGGAGCAGACACCCTTCGCAGCAAGCAGGGCATCGATGCCCGTGTCGAGAGGGTGTTTGATGGGCAGGGGGGAGGGGCGAGAATCGGAGCGGCGACGGCCATGCCGGAATTCTGAACCCTAAACCCTAAACCTTCGGCCCTAGCTCTTAAGCGCGAAAGATCTTCGGGCCTAGGGTTCAGTGTTCGTCTTGGCCTTGTGGCAGGATTTCCGGGAGGCTGCTCTGAGCAACATCACGCCGAGCTCGCCCGTCTCGAGGCCCTTTCGGTGCTGGGCTTGGAGGGAAGGGCAAAAGTTCCACTTGCTGTGAATTTTTGCTGCTGCTTGTTGGGTGAATCCAGCAGTTAGCCCTGTACCAAGTTAGATGTCCCCATGACATTGTGCTTGAAAACGTCCTTCTGAGTTCCTTGAGAGGCAGCGCGTGAAAGTGGACGACCTGCATCTGTGCTGCAGTCACCGGCAGTATGCAAGTAGGGTCTTCGGAAGAAAGAGGAAGGAAGACGGCCAAAGTTTAGGGATCGGGGCTTGGGATGGTCCTCCTTCTGCAGAATCGATCACAGGTCATCATTGCAGGCACCCTGAACCCCCAAACCCTGAACCATAAACCCTAAACCCTGAACCCTATACCCTAAACCCTGAACCCTAAACCCTAAACCCCGAACCCTGAACCCTAAACCCTAAACCCTAAACCCTAACCCTCAAACGCGCCTCAAACACATGAGACCTGTGGCCCCTGAAGTCCTCATCCGGATAGCCCTGCAAAACCTAAACAACCCTGAGCCGCCAAGTGCTTAAGCACGACTAATGTGGGTAGTTCGCAACATAAGGGTCCCTTGGGGTGTCCTTTTTAAAAGGGTGCCGTACTATACTGGGGACCTAAAAATGGACGCTGTTTTAGAGAACTACCCATGTAGGGGATTAATAATTACCAACATCGTTCTTTGGGGTGCCATATGATAGGCACATTTACTATAATATACCCCAGAACCCTATTCTAACTATGAAGGTCCTTCTAGTAACATGCAGGAGCTACGAGTCGGACTGCATCCGAAGTCCTGCACTCCAACATGTGTGCATACAGTGGAAGACATACTGTGCCTACTGTGCGGACTTCGGACGTTCGCACTTCAACGTCAAACAGTGGAGGGCCGGAGGGCATACTCCCGCATACATACATGGGAGTTTCCGAATTAAAGTAGGGGTACCATATTTTGGGGTCCTTATAATAGGGATCCTATTATTTAGGGTACCATATTAGGGTCCCCTATCTTCGGAAACCCCCACATACCCGTCCTTTGACAGGAATCCATCAACAGGTTCGCGGGATACATGTCTACCGTTGTAAGATTTTCATTTCAGGGTCGACAAATGTGCGTACTACGTACTTATTATTTGCAGTCCCCTTGGACGGTACCTAGAGTTCCGTATTTTTCGCTTTGTATCTTGTCCTCACCATCGATGAGGCAGATGATCCTGCCGGCGAAGCTTGCCTACAACATCCAGGGGCTCTCAGCGGTAGCTCCGTTCTGACTCATTACGGTAAGTTGTAATCCTACTACTAGCTCATTTTGTGTTGTTATGTTTGCCGAAGCTGCTGTTAGGTCTTGTTTCATTATTGTTTCCAAGACACCTTGAGCCAGAAACCTTTCTCGGCCGGGGTTTTGGGGCATACAGGCAAGGGTGGCTGTGTGCTTCAATTATGGTCAGAGTTCTGTATGGAGCCCGAAGAAATAGAGATGCAGCCGTTGGCTCCTGAAGTTGCCCCAAAATAGTATTGGTAATTAATTTTACACCTAAACCCTAAACCAACACCTTAACCCTAAACTCTAAACTCTGAACCCAAATATTTCGGCCCCAAAACAATTCGTAGCCAGAGATCTTTCTGAGAGCCGTGAGTCGACAGTTAGGAAGGATCCTTATGTCCAGCGTCCTTTGTTTTCTATTACATATTCCATGTTTAGGGTTCAGGGTTTAGAGTTTAGGGTTTAGGGTTTATCAAAGTCTCGTTTGTAGTAGTTGTAGCTTATTGTGGTGACTTCTAGTAGATCACAGTCTCTTATGGTACATTGTTAACTCCCTCAAGCTTACCAGCACTTGGCTAAGCAAGCCCTTCCAACGCCCCGTGCTTAAGGAATGTACCTAAATTATTGTTATGGCTGGATCCCGCATATGGTTAATGATATATTCGTCAGCTCAGGGATTTTGCAAGGTCTCGCAGTCTGGGAACATAAGCATCCCGAGCATCCAAACCTCGAGCACCCTCAACCCTCTCCCGAAAAGCATACTTATGCTCGAAGCCCTATAAACCCTAAGCCCTCAAACACCCAAGACTGCAGTTCCGAAGGACCGGTGAGGGAGGGGAGAACGGGGAGGAGGGCACAGGCGAAGTTGCGCTGGCCCTGCGCCGCTTCATGCCCCAAGGGCTAAGCGAGCCACCAGTGATCGTGTCCCGTCCGACCACTTGGGGTTTAGGGGTTAGGGTTTAGGGTTCAGGGTTTAGGGTTTAGGGTCTAGCGTGTAGGTTAGGGTAGAACATGGCATAAGGGAGGGTGTTCAGGCTGTCTGGTATTGCTGCGAGACACATCGCATGCCTTTCGCGAGTAGCGAAGGCTCTTTTGGGAAGGCCGTGAAGTCAAATGTGCTGTCGTTTGGACACAGATGTTCCCTAAGGTCAAGCCGGGTCTTCTTGAGCCGTACTATAGTGGCCTTAATAATTACATGTGTTCCCTTTTTTGGGGGGGGGTCCTTGCTGTTAGAATTATAGTATAACACGCCCCCCCAAAACCTTGTTCTAGTTATTAAGGCCCCTATATTACGGAATCTTCGTAAGAACAGCAAGTCCCTAAACCTAGTGCCTTGTAAGAACCGCTCAGCCAGTAGCGCAGTGCCCTTTAAAAGCACCTGCACCCTGCCCTAGACCGAGGAATCCTCTAGTAACCCAAAGCCCTGACTAAACCCTGAAACCTTAAACCCTAAACTCTAAGCCTGACGCTAAAACCTAAACCCCTAAAGCCCTAAACCCTAAACCAAAACCCTGAACCCTAAACCCTAAAGCCCTAAAGCCCTAAGAGGTTTTCTTCCATGGAGAGAGCTACGTAGCTGGCGATCTGGATACACACGCTTGGATGTGTGAATCTCTGGCGGTTCTGTCCCGGGCTTCGGCAGCTTGGACTTTTGCCTCAGGGCTTGTTGGTGTACAGTGGAGGCTAGATATTCTGGTATTAAGGTGCACCTACCCGTCTCCTTCTTATACCCACGACTGCGCAAACTGACATTCCACACGCAAACGCATTCATGCGGAGTGCGTAGAGAAAAATAGTCACAAGCACAGTCGACTGCAACATCCATAATCTCACTTAGCTAGAAGTGTTTTTTGTGCAACTTTGTTTCGTGAACTCATCTACGAATGCCTTTGACAGCGCAACTCGACTCGATATATTTCGATTATAAGCCCCGTAGCCCGAGATTCTTAGAGCGCTTGGGGTAGATTCTGCCACGAAAACGGATCGTTTCAGGGGATGTCTTCGTTGGGTCTGATCACCCCACCGGTTCCACAGGGAGGTTCACCCTAGGACCCTGGAATTCGCAGGTTTTGTGTGCATGTCTTTAAGGTCTCAGGGTGTAGGGGTTTGGGCTGTAAGTTTTGGGCATCGGGTTTAGGGAAGGAAACCGAAAGAGATAGGACCGTCTTAACGGCGTACCGATTGCAGATACATCCGCGATGGGCCCAGGTGGTTTCGGTGGCGTACCGGCAGCCACCAGAAGTTCGGTTTCCGGGAGCCTTCCACGACTCCTTCGCAGCTGTCTGCTGGGTCGCCGAAGGAGAGGGCCTTTAATGGCGAAACCCTAAACCCTAAGCCCTAAACCCTAGCCCAAAATTGGTTGTGGTTAGTGGACGTATCATGAAAACCCTTCATCATCAGGTGGCCTTGGCTACTCGCCTCCCTTCTTGGCAGTTGCCGGCGACGCAGCTGGAGGAGGACTGGCTGCAGCTACCGGGCGGAAAGAGATGCGGTGCAGGGTTTCATGGCATAGCTGAGACCGAACTTCGAATCCTGTTGTGCTTAAGGCGTGTGCCCTGCGGGCCGCGGTGGACGGACCCAGAATAGCTTTGCAGGTGGGGCGGGAGCGGTGCGCCTTTTGAGCAATGCAGAGATGCAGTCCCACTCTTCTGGTGAAAACCACAGCTGTTGCAACAGCAAGAGGACTTGGAGTTGGAATTTTGCTTTCTGCTCAAACCCGACGACCCCTCGGCAGGTTCTCTTCTACCCATGGCTGGACGTGAGGCCGGTGGCGAACGTCGAACTTGCTTGGTTTCCGTTGCCTGCACGAGAGACAGGGAGAGAGTCAGGTCAAGAGAAGCAAGCTTGCCAAAAGCACCTTTGTATAGGGGCAGGATTTTGGGACCCATTATACTATAACTATAATAAGGAACTCCCAAAATAGTATTGGTAGTTAGGCCCCGACATTTAAAGCCAGCATTCAGCCAGGAACGGGTTTGCTAGGGTTCAGGGCTTTTTCCACCAGTGCCCTGGTGCGAAAGGCCGACGAGCCAGGCTATGCTTAGCTTTGAGGAGCCGGCAGGGTCCATGTCTGCTGGGGCTGTAGCTTCTAGGACAAACCCCAAGCCATAAGCAAGTTGTTAGATTTGACCTAAACCTTAAACCCTAGAGCAGGCCCTTAAAAAGTAGTAACTAAAATCATTTGACTAATTATCAGCCAGCCCTGCCTGATTCGAGAAGTTCCATGAAATCAGGGAACCTATTCCGTAAACCCTAAATTAGTGAACATGTTCTGCAAGGGCCAAGCCAGACTTTCGCAAGCCCTGCCGAGATCTAGCTTCCCCAGGCGATTGACCAATGACCAACAAGAAAACGATAAGTTTACCCAGCACAGGAGCCCTGACTTGGCTTAAAACGCATCGACAGCCGTAGTGGTACGAGTGCTGATAGCTAGCACCGACTGCTCTGCTGCTGATGCTGCGCAACTGCTCTTACGGCGGCTTCTACGGCAGCAACTGCGAATGCCAATACGAAGAATATGCATACTATACCCCAAACCCTAAACATCCCTAAACCCTATAAACCATACTATAGCTACCATTGCGAAGAGCCGATGCCTCCGACTGCCGTGGCCACTGTCACTGCAACGACCAGAACCACAACGACTACTACTGTTGCCTCCTTTATATCTACCAAGTATACTATCGTACCTTACCGATCAACACCGTTCTGACCAATAAAACCATGGGTTCTGCTACTACAGCTGCTGTTCCCCGGTGCCCCACAATTGTTGTGGGTGGTTGCGGTGGTGGCCGTGGTGACACATGTCTGTCGTTGTCATCCCTTAACCCTCAACCCCTAAACCCTAAAACCCTGAACCCCGACCATAACGCCCTAAACCCGAAGCCTCTAGCTCTATACTACCCTAAGGCCCAAACCCTACACCCGAATTTGGCGTGGGTCATGGCAGGAGCATTCAAGAGGGTGCAGGTTTCTCCGGGCTGGAAGCAGCCTAGGAAAAAGGGAAAACCGTACACCCTCGAACCGTAAAGCTGTTTTAAACCCTAAACCCTAAACCCTAAAACACTCTGAGCTCTAAAGCCAGGAGACCAATGATCAGCATCTGGCGATGCAGGAGGAGTTTGCTTTCGCTAGCGAGGTGCAGGGGGTCGAAAGTGTTAGGGGCAAAACGGCCAAGCATATAAGCAGCGGTCCAGGGGTTGAAAGCATAAGTGTTCCTAATTCAGTGGGGATGTTCGGGGTTGGGAGTTCGAGGATTTGGGGGCTCATCGGGGGTTCAGGGGTTTGCAGATTTGGGGCCGAAAGGGCCTTCTGGAGATATGTGGGGGGTTTGTCTTCTAATTTCAAGGGTATATCTTGGAACAATTAATTACGGAGTATCAATATACCTTAGATTATAATATTAAGGCCCCTATCTTTTGAGGTATGTTCCTTATTTAAGGAATATACCTTAGATCATCATATTAAGGCCCCTATCTTTTGAGGTATAGTCCTTATTTAAGGAGTATTGGGTTCTGTGCGGCCTGGGACTTCAGATTCCGTGCTCGGGCCTCGGCTGATAAAACGGCAGAAGAGGCCATGCTGGCAGTCCTCAAGTCCGGTTCTACAGGGTTTAGGGTTTAGGGTTTAGGGTTCAGGGTTTAGGTTTTCTACAGTGGTTATTGTAGCCTTGGGGAGTGTTAAGCTGTGGTGTCCAACAAGGTACAATTTTCGACCGCCCTGGCCTTTGCATCCTAAACGCCGAACTCCTGCGCCCTTAGAGCGGGAAGCCTGACGCAAGCCTAAAGCTTTAGAATAGCCCTAGAAGCCCGAATAAGGGGATGCAGCTAGGTGGGAGACAAAAAACCCTTAAACCCTTAAGCCTAAACCCCCTAGAACCTTCAACACTAAACCCTAAAACCCTCAACCCTAGAACCTTCAACCCTAAACCCTAGAACCTTCAACCCCGAAACCCTAAAACCCTCAACCCTTGTAGTAACCCCTATATGACCCAGTCTTGTTATCTTGGGTCAGGTCTACGGGCCGAAGATCGACGTCCCAGAAGACGAGGAGCTCCTCGCAATGCTGCTCATGGCTTAGTAGTAGGGTGTAGGGTTTAAGTTTTAGGGTTTAGGGTTTAGGGGTTTAGGGTTCAGGGTTTAGGGTTTAGGGTTCGTTACTTAAAGGATCATGGGACTTAGTAAGTAGGGTTATAATTACGGGAACTATACTTATATTTGCTTATAACCCAGTTACGGGACTTATAACCTTACTTACTAAGTCCCATGATCCAAGTACCCATAGGCTCCATAGTAGTTCCTTTTTGTGGCCTATAATTTAGGCTCCTATAAGGTAAGCCCAAAAAGGAACTACCATGGAGCCTATGGGTACTGGTTTAAGGTTTAGGGCTTAGCGCTTGAGGGTTGTGGGTTTAGGGTGAGTTTCTGAAGTGCCTCAGAGAGACCTCGTTCAAAAAGGGTTGGGTTCCGAGTTGCTTCAAGGGGTCATAGGAAGGTATCGGGCCCGGATAAGGCTGCGGGACTCGATTTGTAAAGGAGTTTCGCAGTCTTCAGAGTTTCAGATTCAATTCATGGGTTTGGTGGTTAAGGATGCACACGTTCTGGGTCTATGAGTGAGCTGCAGTCAGCATGTGCTGTTTTGTGGGTTTAGGGGTTAGGGGTTCAGGGCTTAGAGTTCTTTCCAATGCATGTATGCACGCACCTAAGCCTCACAGGGATTTTTGATAGTTTAACCATCGCGAGCTCACGGCCAATACTCCATCAACAATATCCTGTTGTTGCTGCCGTTATGTGCTAGCAGCTGGCAGTTTCACGCAGGTGTCCAGGCAATCCGCAACATTAGACATTTGCTGATTTGTGCTGAATGACCTCCCGTTATCATCCTGCCGCAATGTCTCGACACAACCGGTCATCTGTACGCAGCGAAAGATGTGGACAGGCTTTGAAGTCCACCCTGATTCATGTTCGTGGCTGCTCTGACCCGCATGTGCAGGAGGAAGAGGAGGAGGACGACGACGAGCCCAAAGTCTTAGACTGGATGAAGGCAGCTTGACTGCCATGACTCGCTCTTGTTTCGAGGCGCCCGCCACTCTCAGATCTTGAGCACGAAGCCACTGCAAGCAAGCTACGTACCTCATTACGCCATCCATACGGCTTTCCATCACGTACCCCCGACTATCTCTCTCGACATGCGCTCCATGATACAAGCCCGGAAGCCGAAAATAATCCGACAACCTCAAGAGCCTGAGTCCGACTTGCGGAAATCCCCAGACCCCTACAAACGATGCCTACATTTATGGGCAGCGCGATTATGTCATGCTTGCGCTACGTCTGGACCGGGAGGCAGACATGCTTCTTTACATCTATTGAAATTTCCATGTGAATAAAATGAAAGGTGTGTGTGTATATATATATATATATATTTATATATAGATAATGTAGCCTATGCAGACCCGCATGATTCACAAGCCCTTTTTCCGTCCCTGAACAGGGGCTATGATTTTTTTTAATAGGGATCCAAATGCTGAGACCCTGAAGGGCAGGGGCGATGTCATTAAGCAACTCTGGGCCCCTGTGCGTTGGACACTCCCAGCAAACACTGCAGGGTCCTGAATAGTTAGAATAGGGTTCCGAGATCTAGTATATAGTATACTATTACTATGATACCGGACCCACAATAGAATTGGTACTAAACCCTAAACCCTAAACCCTAAGCCCCGCTTTTAATTTCGCTAGCCTTTCAAAGCTAAACCTCCCTCTTTGAGCTCCCTTTCCCCTCGGCCCGAACCTGCGGTGCACGTTGGCTGTGCGGGTTTAGGGTTTAGGGTTTAGGTGCGGGTGGGATAGAGTACAAGGGCCAATAATAGTAACAATAACAATCTAGCAAGAATACACTAATCACAGTAAGCATAAGAGTCATAATAGTATTAACTATAACGATCCGTAGAATCATAATAACAACAATAATAATAGAAATTATAATAATAGAAATTATTGTAACAAATAACAGTTATACCAATATAACGAAAAATGGCTGAACCCTAAACCCTAAACCCTAAACCCTAAACCCTAAACCCTAAACCCTAAACCTGAAGCCGAGGCCCGGGAAGCCTCGCCTCTCCTTGCTGAGTCGCTACGGCCGATGCCTCGCACTTTCCTGGCCACCTGGTGACGTTGTTAGGTTTAGGGCTTAGGGTTTAGGGTTTAGGGTTTTGGGTTTTGGGGTTAGGGTGGGGTTCTATGTTGGTGGGTTTTGGGGTTTAGGGTGGGGTTCTATGTTGGTGGGTTTGGGGGTTTAGGGTGGGGTTCTATGTTCGTGGGCTTTGGGTTTAGGGTGGGGTTCTATGTTGGTGGTTTTGGGTTTAGGGTGGGGTTCTATGTTGGTCATTGGTGGGTTTTGGGGTTTAGGGTGGGGTTCTATGTTGGTGGGTTTTGGGGTTTAGGGTGGGGTTCTATGTTCGTGGGTTTTGGGTTTAGGGTGGGGTTCTATGTTGGTGGTTTTGGGTTTAGGGTGGGGTTCTATGTTCGTTGGTTTTGGGGTTTAGGGTGGGGTTCTATGTGTAGGGCGGTTTGGGATTTCGTGGGTTTAGGGCATCTGAAGCGGAAGGGTTCCAGGCATTAGGGTTTTAGGGTTCAGGGGTTGTCAGGTTTGGTTGGGAAGAAGTTTGAGGGTTTCGGGTTGAGGCGGCCGGGGCTAAGCTCTGGGCCTCTAGGGGTTGTATTTTTTGGGTTTAGGGTTTAGGGTTTAGGGTTTGGGATTTCGGGAGGTATTGGAGTTGAGGGTTGCAGGCTCGTAGAGTCAGAGCACCCTGAACCCAACCTTTTTGACGTCAAAGCCCTCGACTGTGCGTGAGACATGACTTTTTGAGATCCCGGCCATGAGCCTTCCATGTTGTAACGTCATCTTCAAATGCTCTACCACCCTAAACCGTCAGCCCACTAAACCCTGAACCCTCTCCAAACGCCAAACCTAAAGCTTACGATTCGACGATGCGAAGCCCGAAGCCACTAAACCACACTGCCCCGCAAGCCCTGCACTGCCACGACACCCAAAACCGGAATGCCTGAACCTGCTGTTTCAGACACTCTACGATCAGAGAGCCTTTGTGAATTTAACCGGGCGTGAGGGCGCACACCGCAAACCCACATCCTGAACCATCTTTGCAACAGACTGATATAGGGGCCTAAATATTTACCTAGGACCTATACTATTTTGCGTGTTCCTTCCTATTAATATGGTCTAGTGGGCCCCAAAACCCTATTCTAATTATTAAGGCCCCTTATATTAGACACCCAAGCTCTAAACCCAAATCCCGCAAGCCATGCGTGAGCGTGTGCGGGGAAGCTGAGGTCCCTTTAAGGTTTAGGGTTTAGGGTTTAGGGTTTAGGGCCTTATACCAGTCACCCTACCTGGACCCTGAAAGTATGTAGAATACTGGCCCCTTATAGGCTTTGGGCCATTATGTCACCTACTTTTGGTGGTTTAGGTGAAACCCGGCCCAAACGCAAGGCATATGCAGCTGACGACCTATTAGCGCCTGACTGCCGGAGCTTCGCCACCCGTCTCCGGAAAGAGGTGGGCGCCGAGGCCGGGGCGGTTCAGCTTTAGGGTGTAATCTAGGGCCTGGAAGTATTGGAAAAGAATCTTCTCATTGTCACTGAATAATACGATTAATATTTCTACTCGTACATCATACACCCCGAATCCCCAGTCAAAATCTAATGGCCTCCTCACATTCGGCTTTAGTGGCTTCAGTGCGTGCGCTAGTAGTTTCAGGGCTTCATCAGTAGAGGGTGTTCTTACTGGGAGATGCAGGGCTTCAGGAGGTTCGTGGTGCCGCACCATTGCTCCGAGACTTCACCTTTAACCGTTCGGGTTTTGATATTTCAGAAGAAGTCAACAAGTTCATTTGTTTCATTTCCTTGGGTTCATGGTGGGCAATCTCTGCGGGAGCCGCATTCATGCTGCTGCTATCAGAATGGTTGGAATGAACATGGTTCATGATGCGAGAGAGCCCTGCCCACGAGAACCCGGAAAGCGCCGGCTTCCGCATGCCCAAGAAATTCTGTGCACGCATAGTGCTTCATCATCATGAGAAGGTGATCGTTGTCAGCAGAAAGTTCACCATGGCCAGATCATGATACTCTTCATCGCTTCCGTTATCACGCGCAAGCTTCAACTGCCATGTATAGGTCGCCCAAGCCCAGCATTTCTTCCACCAGCATTGTGCAATAATTTTATGTTGGCGTATGTTTGCATATTCGAGGAAAGTCGTCTCACTGCTCTTCATGGTTCCAGTGTTCTGCAATAGTTGATCATCTTGCACTCTAGGCACAGATGTCAAAACTATGGCGTCGAGCTATCTCTCCGTTCAAGCTTTTCATGTTGTTGTTCTGGTAATGGTCATTCTTATTGCTGCTATAGTGTTGGCCCCCATGAACAACAAGCTTGTGATGCGGAAGCTGCTGTTTATGGCGATGGTTATGGCTTATCACGGTGTCGTAGATGAGCATTCTGGCAATGATGTCGATGATGACGGTCGTGACAGTGCTGCCGTTGCTGCATTGTGGCATCCGCCACCGCCACTGCTGCTGCTGCAGCTGTTGCGATGCTGATGCTGCTCCAGACCTGCTGCAGACGATGATGGTGGCCGTCTATGCTGTAGTGGAGCAGTTTACTTGGGATGTGGCGATTTCGGATTCGGTTCTTTGAAGGTAACACCTTTGCGTGCGTGGTGCACGTAGCGCACAAAGCCCTAAACCCAACTGAAACCCTAAACCGCCCAAACCCTAAGCCGGAAGCTCACAATTATCAATGTTGATTTTAAAAATATATTACCCAAACCATATTGTATATTAAACAAGTAAGAATGTTGTTTTGTTTAGATTCTGAACAACAAGACACTCAAAGGCCGTGCACGAGCTGGAGCTTCCCGCCCCATTGGGGCCTGGTTTCGCCAAGGAGGGGTTGGTGGAGTGTAGGCTGAAGCAGAGCCAAGGTCCCGTGCTAGATTAGGTAGCATTATTAGGGGTACCCCTTAAAAGGGACCTCATTGAGAGGGTCTATATCCCCAAGGGTCCCCCTAATCCTAGCTCCAATAGATGTTCGATGAGTTTAGTCGCGTCTTTCTGCGTTTTCATCTTCGGGCTTTCTGCCTTTTCGGTTTCAGGCTTTAGAATTTAGGGTTTGGGATTTAGGGCTTTCTGCCTTGTATGGGACGTGGAGCGTAGGCCTCGCCAGTTGCAGGCTGCAGGCCCTGCAATGAAGCTGAGTGTTTTATTTCAGTCTGGCCTGGAGTTTAGGCATCGTTGTTTGAGGATTTGGTTTGCTGGTGTTAGCTGGTAGGCCCGATTGCGCCCCTGGACAGATCTGGGCAGAGGTCTTGTGGGTACTAGATGTTCGGCTCTGGGGGGTTTGGGCTTTGTGGATTTCGGGCTCCGGGGCTTCTAGGTTCCTAAACCCTACCTGTGGCCCAAAAGACTTACCTTTTCAAGGAACTACATAGAGAACACATAGCAAGCAACCCTAAAAAGGCGGGTCTTTTCTGCTAAAAACCTAGAGGGATTCAGGGATCTCCGGAATGTTTGTTCAGGCTTTGCTGCCTCAGCTCTCTGGCTTACGAGCCTGAAAGTCCTTTTTCGAGACTGAACACCCCCAGTTTCTTGCATGTGCCTGGACCAGTCGAGAAACCATGACGACGAAGGGCAGGACTCTCATATTCTTCAGCCTCTTGACCTTGGCTGGTGCAATGCTCCTGGGCTGAATTTGGTTTCTCCGTTGGGTCCTAGCGCAGAAACATGCGCCAAACCTGCGACCCCAAATTTCCGATCCGAGGTTTAAAAAAACTGCGAAGCAGCTGGTGACTTTTGATGAGCTCGGCCAGAGATCTGGCTTTGGGAGTGGGCATCGAAGCCTTTTGGACTCGGATGGCAACCTTAGCAACTTCGGCAGCACCGGGGCCAAAGGCACTCGAAGAGCCGCAGAGACTCCAGTGACCCCGGCACTGCTGGCTGCGCAGCCACTGAAGTGGCTACACATACCGAAGTGTGGGACTTCTTTGTTGAATGCCTTGATCCATCTTTCCGGTGTTTGCCCGGGAGTAGACGACTCTTTCCAAGTGAACTCCGATGTACTCGGGTTTCACTTCGAAGCGAGTTTCGACCGCGCTTGCCACTACCTCTGCGATGCCGCGAAGTTCGTTTGCGCTACAACAATCAATGGGCTGTACAGAACACATAGGGGCATCGGCATCGATTACGATGTCCTCAAAGGCCTGCAAGTCTTCATAAGTCCCATGTCAAGACCCCTGGAAGTCTGAAGCAAACTCCCTTCCAGTCCTGAAGCCCCGAAAGCCACAACTCGGACCCTTAATCTTAGGGGTACTTGGAAATAATTTTTAATCTTTGGTTACTATAAACCCTAAGAAGCAGCTAAAATTATAATTTTTGCTAGGGGTCTAAGTTCAGTATAGTAATGTGGCTCAGGCAGTTAGAAGCCGAATCCAGATCGCCTGTCGTGCATCGCTAAAGAACCAGCAGCGCAAGCGAACAGGCACATGCATATACATGCATTCATCAGTGCATGCATCCATACATGTGTATGTCTGTATGTCTGTATGTCTGTATGTCTGTATGTATGTATGTATGTATGTATGTATGTATGTATGTATGTATGTATGTATGTGTATATATTATATTCATTTATTTTTATCATGTGTTTATGTATGTTGCTTTGCTACAGCATCTTATCTAGCAGTGTTGAGGGAATACAGACACATACAGAAATACCATTGTGCCTAAATATGCTTGTATATATACATATATACACATACATAACACGTGTACACATTAGTGTACATGCTTTGTCGAATTGGATGTTTTTCATGTACTATGTCGTCTTATGTATTGTTTCACTCTCTTGACTTGTTTCTCGTCTTACGTCAGCCAGTCCTATTGTGTTCCGATCTATTCTAGTCTGTCCCATTCCACTATGTATATACTATATAACTTTTGGTATGATTCATGATTCATGATGTATATACTTGTGCATACGTATACATATATGCATGGATATAAAGATAGATAGATCAACGAGAGATCGAGAGTTTGATATGTACCACTGACTTGTTTGTGTAAATTCAACTCAGGAGTATGTGTATGTATGGGTATGTGAATATATATATATATAAAGAGAGCGAGCGAGCGAGAGAGAGAGAGAGAGAGAGAGAGAGAAAGAGAGAGAGAGAGAGAGAGATTGATTGAGTGAGTGAGTGAGTGAGTGAGTGAGTGAGTGAGTGAGACAGGGGGAGATGCATAGATCATCTGATAGATATATAATGGATAGATGGATGGATGGATAGATTAGTCTGCTGTGTCTGTGGTACCTTACAGTACATTTAGTGCCCACAGGAGGCACACAGAACATAATTAAGACGCATTGACATCTATATACCGGGATTTACATATTCGTGCACGTGCGAATAGATGCATGTTGTCCTCCTGGTTCTCATATATATATATATATACGCAGGCCACATCGTGACCATGTTCCGAGATCCGATTCAGCGCATCCTCTCTGCCTGGAATGATCCCGTGTTTAAGCATGGAGCTGGGCATAAGGACTTCTTCCAATATGTACATTCAGAGGCGCATGCTCTGACATGTCAGATCATGGGAGATGGGATCATGGATCCGCTGCCAAAGTTCTGCAAGAATATGACCGAAACAGATGCGGGACTGGCGCTCGTCAGGATTCGGGAAGGCTTCGCGTTTGCCGGGATTGTGGAGGAGCTGTGCTGATTTGAACGGTCTTTGTTCCCACAACAGTGCCAACCGTAAGAGCCAGTAGCTTACCCTAAACCCTACACCCTAAACCCCTAAACCCTAAACCTGCACAACTACAGAAGTATTCGCACTTAACAGCACCAGTCGCACGGCAGCTGCCCCATAACAAGCCACGAGGAGTGGGACCTCTCCATGTGCCTCTTCCACCGTCTCTGGGTCCTTGTCGGCTACAATTTTTCATTTTTGTTATCGTAAAACCCAATAAGGATTTTAAAATGATCGTTTTTGTGATAGTAAAACAAAAATGGGATTAACAAATGTTCATCTTTGTTATAGGAACACCCACTAAGGGTTAAAACGTTCATAGATATGATCATTTCGGTTATAAGAAAACCCGATAAGGATTGAACATGATCACCTTTAACCAAAGCCCCAACGGGGAACCAGGTATGTTTGGAGGTGATTGTGTCCACTCGGAGTTCATGGACAACAGGCCGACGTTTCCTGGAGCGACAACTTACCACGAGTACGATGTGTCTGAGCTTGGAGGGTATGATGACCCAGTGGACCGACTCCTCTACAACGGAGCCAAGGACACAAGTTGGCTCGCACATATCTTTGCAAGGCTTTGAACGAATCTTTTAATATAGGGGCCTAAATAATTACCAATACTATTCTGGGGATTCCTTAATATAGTTATATACTATAATTAGATCCCAAAACCCTGTTCTGTTTATTAAGGCGCCTATATTAACCTGTAACCCTAAGCCCTGGTTGGGAGGCAGTCATCGGAGCGGCGCGAGGGTTGTGGATGGTTCAGGGTTTAGGGTTTAGGATGGGTGTCGGTGTTGGTTGCTGCGTTTGTGGAGATTGAGAATTGGTGTTTTGAGCCTCACTGTCCTCATGTAAGGCTCTGTCTACCAGGTATTCCGGCTGTAGAAAGAAGGCAGAGGGCCCTAAAATAAAAGAGCAGAATCCTGTACCGTATTGCTCAGGCTTTCTGAAGGATTCGAGCAAGGTTCCAGCTAGCTGTCTGTCTATGTCGTACATCCGCAGGAGGTGACAGAAAGTCCTGTCTGGTTCAGAAGAGCACCAAGGATTACGTGAGAGTTTATACAGTTGCGGAGGTATCTTGGGGTTCTTCGAATAAAGAAAAAGTTACGCGAGGTGTTTATACAATTGTGTAGAGGTGTTATAGGTGTTGCAAGGGTTCTTGGGACATTGTGCATCTGACGCGAAGGCCAGTTGATCAACATTCTGTGGCCCCTCCTGCCCACCAGGAGCTCTTCTTTGAGAAGCTGAGGGAATACAATGTGTCCCATGAGTCGTGTCAGCCGTGCTATGCACAGGCACAGCTGCGGACAGCTTGAGAGCCTGACCCAGATCGCAAAAGTGCGTCTCTCTCTATCTAGGACATTTTCAGGTGGGTAGTTACCGTTATAGGAGCCTTATAGAAGGTCTATATACCTTATGGAAACCTGATAGAAGCCCTATATACCCTAAACTCCCCACCTGTAGTTCCCCTTTACTCTAAGCCTTTAGCAAAGCCCTATGTAAACCCTTGCGGCCCGCAGGCAAAACCCGAAGTGCTATTGTTGATCAGTGAGAGGTTTAGCCGTGCATTAGGGCATTCCCATGTCGTTGGACTGTTTTCCCAACCTTGCGCACCCCAAAATCCTCGAACCTACGACCATGGATGCAGGGGCTTGAGGTGCAGAGTTTAGGTTTTGGGGTTTCCGGAATCCGAGGGAAGTGTCCCCTCTTTGGCTCCAAGCTCATGTGAGCATAGCCTTAACCAGTGACAGGGCCTTGCCATGCAAATCACTAAGGGTTTCTGCGCAGAATGAAAGCCTTGACCCCACTGGCGACATTTGCAGTGCATTGGTATTGGCTTCACAGTTTGGTTGAAACAGGTTCTGATGTCAGGCTTATGTATTCCAGTCGTTATCCTGAAGCATCTAAAAGGTGGGCATCGATACTGCAAGAAAAGCTTCGTTCTAATGTTGGGGCTTAAATAATTACCTATACTACTTTAGTTGTTCCTTCTTATCTATAATTTCCGTATAGTATAAAGCTTGAAGAGAGCTGCAATGCAGTGCCCTCGTGAAATCAGACGGCTCCCAGTTCTGAACCGGCCTTCCAGTCCAGAACCCTGCAATGACAGCCCAGGAGCCCTAGAGGCCCCATGTAATATAGTATAGTTTAATACTATATTATATCACACTATGTTGTTTTATGGTTTTACATTAGAGTGCATTATAAAGCCTAATATAAGACAATATAATGCCATATGGTATTTGATGTATGTATGCATGCATGCATGC